TTTAAGTTTGTATTTGGGGATTTATCTATACTTACCCCTATAAAAAATAAATACAAAAGACAAAGAAAATAAAAAATAAATAAATTTTACATGTAAAAGAGAGAAGAAAAAGAAAAGAAAAAAAAAAAAGAAAAAAAAAAGGAAGAGAGTTAATTACACGTCGCCTTCCAGCAAGTGAGATGGAAGGGGGCAGCTCAAGGCAAACTCTCCCCTCCCTTCTACCCACCCATTTTCCCATTACCCACCTCCATTGGAGGTGGTTTTGTCTCCCCACCCCTACCCACCCCCATCTCCATTGGAGATGGTCTAAGGGGTTAGTCTCCATATATAAAAGGATATATATATATATATATATATATATATATATATATATATATATATATATATATATATATTGGTATTTAATCGTAATAACTTTGTTTTGTAGATACGAATGCGCGGAACCGGCGAAATGTGGAAAGTAAAAGCGAACACACAAAAAAGAAAATGGCTTATTCGAAAAAGTAGGACAGCAAAACGTGTAAATATTAAAAAAAAAAAAAAAAAAAAAAAAGCTATGTAATTATATATATTTAGTCATGTTGGAATTAGAAATTTTCATATGTTCATGCAATTTTTACTCAAATAAATATTATCAGTTAATTATTAAATCATATAAAAAGAAAATAAAGAAAGGCACATAAAAGTTCGAGAAATTACTACTCAAAAGTCAAACGTGCACATTTTTAAATTAAATTTTCAGAAAAAAAAAATAGCCTCGAAAGTGAACGAAATGTGTTTATTAGTTCAATTCCGAGTCAATTTAGTCGACAATTTTAGTTAGAATTATAAAAAAGGGGAAATATGCAAAACCCCCTCAAACCATAAATATTATGAGTTAAACTCATTTGACTTTTAAGACTTTTGCCCACACCTAAAGACCAATCTTAATTAGTGAAACCCCCCTCAACAACTTTAATAAGACGGAACTACCCTTATCAGTAGTTTTTAAAATAATTGCAATATTTATTTTCCATAACCGTCTCACGTAATTGTAGGATTACATTAATTCTCTCCATATATCTCTCTTTCATTCTCTCTCTATTTCTCACGCAACTTCTCTTTTTTTTTTTTTCTTCTTCAGCCCATAATCCTCCATCACTCGCCAATGGACACCACTCAGCCGCACACGGCGCCGGCGCCGGGTTTGATTCTCCTTCCGAAGAGCGAACGAAAAAAAAGGAGAAAAATCAAGTTTTTGAGATGCAACAGTTTTCGTGCAGAGACCAGATCGGAAGATCTAACCATCGGATCGGGTTGATATTTTTACACATGATTCGTAACACATAAATATAACTTATGAACGGTGGAGATCGGAATCAGACTTCTCTGAATATAGATTGGATCTTAAAACTCGCTGCTGGTTTTTGTTACTGAATAATTCATGGCAGCTAGATTGGACGCGTTTTTTGTACAATTGAACCGTTGGATGTGGCCTAAATTTGGATAGAGTATTCAGAGTATATATTTTTATATACTGTACGGAGGAGATTGAATTTGGTGCCCCCTAGCTCCGGATATAAATTGTGAAAGTATCACAATTCGGTAGTCACATTGTAGTCACATTCTCATGTTTTTTTGTAGTGCTGCACATCATGTCGTCAACCTTGATGATTCTGTTAAAGTATGGAGGGTCGTTTGGGGTGAAGATATGCCAGGGTGATTTTGTGTATGAAGACCTCGCCCTCTGTCTCGTTATTTTTCTATCTTTATTTATGTATTTTTCGATTTTTTTTCCAGATCTGAACAGCAGTAGTAACATGACTATAGCCATATTCGAATATGACTATAGTCATATTTAATATATTTTTCGAATATGACTATTCAAGTTGACTTCTAATAACAAGATTCAAATTGTGATTTTTTGTGTGGATGTTGATTGAATTGTTTTCGTAAATAATAGGGAATCTTCGTTGTTTTATATGATTTGGTAAACATCACTATGCCATATAATCGGAACTTTTAAGTTCAAAATGTAAAAAACAACAATATAAAGAAAGAATATGACTACAGTTTATAGTCATATATAGTCATATTCAACCATAGTCATATTCGGCGTTGCAAACCTGTTGAGAGAAAAATTTCAATTTTTTGTTTAAAAAAAGTTTTAAAAAAAAATTAAAATGATATTTTTATTAAAAAATATTAAAATTAAAAATAAATTCAAAATGACTGAATAAAGTCCAAAAATAATATAAAAATAAAAAATAAAAATAATAAAATCCGATTATTTTTTATTTTTATTTTTTTGATTTCGTAGCAATTTTTTAGGAATTTGGAACAGATTTTTAGGAATTAAATTGTTATGGAAAGAGAGAAAAAAGGAATAATTGAGATAAATTAGGGAAAATATATAATTAAGCCTAATTAGCGGGATTAGGTGCCTCATTAATAGGGATTTCGAAATTACTGGATAATTATAAAAAAAACGTGATACACTACTAGAGGGGTAAGATTGGAAATAAATATTCTAGGGGGTTTTCACAAAGAAAGAATTATTGTATGGACATATCACTAGTTTTTATCTAAATGAGGGGTGTATTGCTAATGACCCCTATAAAAAAATGTCTTGAATCATTTTTTTTCAAGCATACAATAATAAAAAATACTCAATTTAAAAAAAAAAATAGAAATGGTTTAAAAACGTGAGAGATATTTTGGAATAACAAGAAACGTGGTTGGTGAAAAGCGCTTTCATCCCAAAAAGCGATTTCATCTAACAAAAAAGCGATTTCATCCAGGAAAAAGCGATTTTATAGTTTATCTTGGATATTAAATTTGGTTTCTTCAGAAAATGAAAAAAATGTATGGCAAGTGTAATAGCATCATCATCATCCAATCTGCTACACTTCCTTCCTTCATCCACCGATCCGCCATACGAACTCCTCAAAGAAAACCCATCTCTCTCTCTTCTCTCCAAATGCAGAAGTATAAAAACCTTCAAACAAATCCATTCCCACTTCATCAAATTCGGCCTCCACAACACTCAATTTGCTGTAAGCAAATTGATCGATTTTTGCGCGGTGAGCCCTTACGGAAATCTTTCCTACGCCGTTTCGATCTTCGATTCTATCCACAACCCAAATCACGTTATCTACAATATGATGATCCGCGGATATTCTCTTGGCTCTGTGCCCAAATCAGCTCTGAATTGCTATGTAAAGATGTTGTTTTTGGGTCTCGAACCGAATTCTTACACGTTTCCGTTTCTTCTTAAATCTTGCACGAAGTTTCCGACGGCGCAGACAGGGAAGCAAGTTCACGGCCATGTTTTTAAGTTCGGTCTTGACAGCGATGTTTATGTGCATACTTCACTTATCAACATGTACGCTCACCATGGGGATTTGGAGGACGCAAGGATGGTGTTTGATAAAAGTCCTCTTAGAGATGCGGTGTCGTTTACGGCGTTGATCACGGGGTACTTGCCGAGAGGCTATGTTGATAGAGCACGCGAGCTGTTCGATGAAATTCCTGTGAGAGATGTTGTGTCTTGGAATGCTATGATATCTGGATATGCTCAGATTGGTAAATTTGATGAGGCTTTGAGTTTGTTTCGAGAGATGAGAAATGCGGAAGTTGCTCCCGATGTGAGCACGTTGTTGAGCGTTCTTTCTGCATGTGCTCGTGTGGGAGATATTGAAACTGGTGATTGGATTAAATTGTGGATCGAAGAAAACCGGCTCGATTCGAATCTTCAGCTCGTTAATGCAATGATTGATATGTATGCAAAATGCGGCAATCTTCACACGGCGAGGAAATTGTTCGATGGTATAAAAGAAAAAGATATTGTCTCGTGGAATGTTATGATTGGTGGGTATACACATATGAGCGAGTACAAAAACGCCCTTGAAATGTTTCGTCTGCTCCAGCTAAACAAAGTAGAGCCGAACGATGTGACTTTCTTGAATATTATTCCAGCTTGTGCACAATTAGGCGCCCTCGACCTTGGTAAATGGATGCATACTTATATCGAAAAGCATTATCACGATTTCCCGAACGAGACTCTTTGGACAAGCCTCATAAACATGTACGCTAAATGTGGAAATATCGAAGCTGCAAAACAAATCTTTTACGGTACGAAAACCAAAAGCTTGGCTTCTTGGAATGCCATGATATCTGGGCTAGCTATGCATGGAGATGCAAGTAATGCGATCGAGCTTTTCTCGAAAATGGCTAAAGAAGGATTATTCAAACCGGACGAAATCACCTTCGTCAGTGTTCTATCGGCTTGTTGCCACGCGGGTTTGGTAGATCTTGGCCGTCAAATTTTCAAGTCGATGGTCCAAGATTACAACATCTCTCCTCAATTGCAACATTATGGATGCATGATCGATCTTTTAGGAAGAGCGGGATTGTTCGAAGAAGCAATGGAATTAGTCGAAGGAATGGAAATTGAACCCGACGGAGCTATATGGGGTTCGATTCTCGGTGCATGCAGAATCCATAAAAATCTCGAGCTGGGCGAATTTGCTGCTGAAAAGCTCTTCAAAATCGAACCCAACAATCCCGGCTCTTACATTCTATTATCGAACATATACGCACGAGCTGGCAAATGGGATGAGGTGGCGAGAATTAGGACGCTGCTCAAAGACAAGGGAATGAAGAAGGTCCCGGGCTCGACTTCCATTGAAGTGGATGGCGCTGTGCACGAGTTTCTTGTGAGCGATCGAACGCATTTGAGGAGCGAAGAAATATATATGATGCTCGATGAAATCGATACGGTTCTTGAAAAGGCAGGGCATGTTCCGGATACTTCCGAGGTGTACTACGACGTTGATGAAGAGTTGAAAGAAGGTGTTTTGTGCGAGCATAGCGAGAAGTTGGCTATTGCTTTCGGGTTGATTAGTACAAAACCAGGTACAACTTTAAGGATCGTGAAGAATCTTAGGGTTTGTGGGAATTGCCATTCTGCGACGAAGTTGATATCGAAGGTGTACGGTCGGGAGATTATTGCTAGAGATAGGAGCCGTTTTCATCGTTTTAAGGATGGTTCTTGTTCTTGCATGGACTATTGGTAAAAAAAGAAAAAAAGATTTTTTTTTTCTTTTTCGAAAAGTAGCAGTTTGGAACATTCTAGAATACACAGAATCATCAGTTAGAAGAAAGGGCTAAAAACTTGTCATGGTAGAATTGCACTAAATATGATAGAAAGAGGTAAAGATTTAATTTAAAAGGAATACAATTGTAAATTAGCCAGACAAGTGTTAGGCCAAGACAATCTAGGCGGCTGTCCAACAACAAAAGAAAAAAAGTTAGGCTAAGAAAAAAAAAGTTGGACCGAAATCGGTAGAATTCGAAAATTATGTTTCAATTTTTCACTTATAAAATCTTCATATTATTTAAAATTAGTATTTCTCAACGTGCGATGAACTGATTACACATTGATTCCCTAGACGTAATTCAGCAATTGTGGGGATGTCACATACTTTTGATGTCAAACTAATTTTGACAAGGGTACAAGGGAAGCTACTTCATACAAATTATGCCCCCTAGCCTTTAGATTCAATATTGATTTATACGAAATAGATTTAATACAAACTATGTTAATTATATGTGACGAGCTTTACCGAAAAACTAATAGTGTTCTACTTTAATACGTAGATAAACTCTTCATATCTCATCATATGAGATTATATTTCTCACCGAAAAAGAGAAGGAAAAATATATGAGATTATAATTTATGGTAAATTACGGTCACCTCCTAAAATAAGATCAAATTATGAAAAAAATTCTTTATGTTTGGATAATTACAAACACCCCTCTTAATTGTGAATTTTCCTACACTTCATCCTTGTGGTGTCAAATTTAATGAAATCTTATAGATAATGTGAAATATATATTTACCCATTTTGCCCCATTCGAGCTCCACATTTTAAAACAAGATGATCATAAGATGTGTTTCTTGGCTTGTAAATATCGGATAGTAGTGTATCATAAACTAAATTTTTGCACAAAACGACCAGAGAACATTCCACGGAATCTAGAAGATTCTATTGAATTCGACACCATAAGAGTAAATGTATAAAGACATAATTGAGGGAAATATTATAATTACCCAAACATGATCGATTTTTTCGCAATTTGAAATTTACCCTATTAATTATTTCCCCATAAAAATTAAATACCATCCACACCCTTCAAATAGTGTACACACATTGCACAGTCCCAAGAAGGATTATGCAGTCAAGATTCACCTAATTCCGCTGGTTACAAATATTTAACATCACCGAAAAATAAAAATTAAATAAATAAATAAAAAATCCAGCCATTTTTGACTTTCACTGCCATCACATTTCTTCGTTTCTCAGATATATAAACCCCACACTTCTCGAGCTACATAAAATTTTTCTTTTTTAGCTTTTTTCTTTATTCAATTGTATTTATTGATTTCGCTACTTCTTCTTCCTACCTCTTCCCCCTTTTTCTTGTAAAAAAAATTCAAGATTTCCTTCGATTTTGTCGATCTTCTTCCATCTTACAACAATCAGTGTACTGATCTCGAGTTTCCGAGTTAACTGGGAATGATCCACGAGTTCGCTCATGGCTAAAGATTGGATTTTTAACCAAATGGGGTTGCAAAATCTGCGCGCAAGAAAATAGATACATACATATATAGATACAGATATAGATATAGAGAGGGAATTTCGAGGTGGGTTCGTTGTATTGAGTTGATATGGGTGGGTGTTTCCCCTGCTTCAGATCATCAAGTACTGAAGGAATTAGTAACAGTAACAATGGCGTGAAGGAAGTATCTAGAAAGGAATCTTTTAAAGAAGGTTCTGCTGCTAATTCTAATAGCAATGTCAGTAGGTTGAGCTCAGGTACCTTAATTTTACTATTAATTTTGTATAATATTAACTTCATTTTTGAGGGATTTGATAATTGTGTCTGATTGAATTTGAATTGGAGATCTGTTCTTCTTCTTGATCTGTAGGGTTTTTCAATTTTTTTTTGTGATTTTGAGGAATTTTGTGGGTTCAGATTTATTTGCTATTGTTCGATTCTTGCTTCGTTGTCGTTCGGTAGATGGGTTCGTTATTTTAGGGGTTTGAACGAAACCCGGATTCTTTAACGAGTTACTGGTAGATTTGGAACTCGAAATTTCGTAGAATTTGGTACATTTGTATTCAACATTGCACAATTAAGCCAACTAAGGCACTCCAAATATCGGAATGTAATTGTACCGAGATATCGTTTTTTTTCTTGGTAAGATGTTAAATGGGGATGAAATATGTCAAGTGAGATTAACTATTTTTTTTTTTGAATATATTTTTTAATAGAGAAATCGAGAGCTCGAAATAGTAGTGATTCTAAAAAAGAAATAGGTATTCCGAAAGAGCCGACTGCCCACATCGCTGCACAAACGTTTACATTTCGCGAACTTGCTGCAGCAACAAAGAACTTTCGACCAGAATCCTTACTCGGTGAAGGTGGTTTTGGTCGAGTCTACAAAGGCCGTCTTGAAAGCACCGGACAGGTAAGTATTTGATGTTTATGATCTGAAATAATTTTTTTTTTTTCAATTTGAAAAACCGAATAAGAAAATGGTCATCGTTTTGGAAAATGCTTACGTATAAGTAGGTGGTTGCGGTTAAGCAACTTGACAGAAATGGGCTTCAAGGGAATAGAGAATTTCTAGTGGAGGTTCTCATGCTAAGCTTATTGCATCATCCAAATCTCGTTAATTTGATTGGATATTGTGCTGACGGGGATCAACGTTTGCTTGTGTATGAGTATATGCCTTTGGGATCTCTAGAAGACCATTTACACGGTTAGATTATTATTATTATTATTATTATTTTATTTTGTTATTATATTTCTTTATTGACATTCTCGTGTTCTAAATAATCCACAAGTTGATATATAGTTGGAAGATTAGTGTCGGTTTTAGGTGAAGATAACCCTGAATTAGTAATGTTGTTCGGGAGGAAATTATTGTACATTTGCTCGTACATTTGCAATCAAATATATGAACTCAATGTGGCATTTTTTAGGTTGAATAATTCTTATTATTTAAATTTAAAGTCGAAGAAATTAGGCACTGTGGAACTTCTTTGTATCGAAGAACTTCTTTATATCGAAGAACTTCTTTATACAAAATCGATTAAGTAATTTGAAAAAAAAATCCCTTTTTTTCAAACACTAGTACTACACCCCGTGCGAAGATTAGTCCTATGCCTTTTCGATTTCTCTACTCGTTAATTATTTAATATTATGTCTATATATATGCAGATCGTCCACCGGATAAAGAGCCTTTAGACTGGAACACGAGAATGAAGATAGCTGCTGGAGCAGCAAAGGGATTAGAATATCTGCACGACAAAGCAAATCCACCTGTCATATACAGGGATTTAAAATCTTCCAATATCCTTCTCGACGAGGAATATTCCCCTAAATTATCCGATTTCGGTCTTGCAAAACTGGGTCCCGTTGGGGATAAAACACACGTCTCTACTAGGGTTATGGGTACTTACGGATATTGTGCTCCGGAATATGCCATGACCGGTCAACTCACTTTGAAATCCGATGTTTACAGTTTCGGAGTTGTCTTCCTCGAACTCATCACCGGTCGAAAGGCTATTGATAATACTCGTGAAGCAGGGGAGCATAATCTCGTTGCATGGGTATGTGTCGTATCTATTTATTTACTACAGTTTATTACGTTTAGTACCCCTGTGTTATATCGAATGGCTAAAAAACTCCCTGTGTTGTAATTAATTTAACAAAAGCTCCCTGTATTGCTTTTTTTAAGCAAACAACTCCTAAATAGGGAGTTTTTTGGGAGCAATCTGCTAAAAAAAATGAATCATAGGTGGGATTTTGCTAATAAAATTATACGGGGAGTTTTTTTTAGCAATTAGAGAAAACACAGAGGTGTTGAATGCAATAAACCCATATTTATTATATTATACAACATATAAAATGCATGAATGTGCACTGAATAATCTTCTTCACTTGCTATTTCTTTTTGGTCAACTTAAGGCACGGCCACTTTTCAAGGATCGAAGGAAGTTTCCGAAAATGGCGGATCCACTACTAAAAGGCCACTACCCAATGCGTGGACTATATCAAGCACTCGCAGTGGCGGCAATGTGCTTGCAAGAGCAAGCCGCCACAAGGCCTCTAATAGGAGACGTTGTGACCGCTTTGTCCTATCTAGCGTCGCAAATTTACGATCCAAACGCCCCACAGAGCAACAAAGCCGGTGGTCCACCTACACCTCGGCACAGAGACGGACGGAGGAACACGTCCGAAGGAACGGACGGCTTGGATGATGATTCCCAACGTGGGTCCCCTTCGATTCACAAGAATTCGCCCGATTCAAGGAAGAGAGGTTCCGGGAGGGAGTTTGGCGAGTTGCGGAAGGTCGAAACCGGAGGTGGGTCCCGCAGTAAGTGGGGTTCGGAGGAATCGGAGAGGCCCGATTCTCAGAGGGATAGCCCGGCTAGTGCGGGGAGAGGGAGAGAGGCTTTGAGGAACAGGGATCTAGAGAGAGAAAGGGCGGTGGCTTTAGCAAAGGTGTGGGGTGAGAATTGGAGAGAGAGAAAGAGGACGAACGGTGCTGGCAGCTTTGATGGCACAAACGAATGATGTAAGTATCGATGTCTCTAGCTGAGGGAAAATAGTCTTGTAATTCGTCGAAAACGAAAGGAAGAATGAAAGGTTATTCTGGGTAATCATTTGCTTATTATATTGGAGAAAAGTTGTAAGCAAAATGTTAATCTATGTATGTAGGTTTTTGTTGGAACATGGGGAAGAGAAATTGGGAAAAGTATATCTGAAATTTTGGCTCCAAATTTTCTGCATGAAGTCCTTAGTCATGTCATATGTTTTCTATTGGTAATTTGCATCGATTGTTTTCATGATTTCCTGGTCGTGTTTGCTAAATTCTGTCTGTTTTCATAACTCCACGCACGAGTTTTCGACCAATCATAAGTTTCCAAATATGCAGTAACTAGCTAATAATCCTAAAATGTAAATGATACATATAGTTGATGAAATTCATAGATTATTTACAATATATTGCCCAAGCATCCAGACAATATGCCATAACTTAATTTAATGAAAGTTGTTTTCTCTTCTATATATTGCCCAAAGCATCCAGACAATATGCCGCAACTTAATTTAATGACAGTCATTTTCTCTTCTTTCCCTGCCAAAAAACAACAAAGACAGCTCTGTTTTAGTCCTATACGCAACGATGAAACTATTAATGATTACATGTAAGAATAGACGAGACTCACATAGTCATCCATGGATTTCCGTTTCTTCATAGTCGAGGGAGGGCTTTCGGCAACATGTCTAGCTGACGAACGCTTAGCTGCTGCCATACTCTGTCGGAAGAAAAAATGACATTATTTAACTAATAATCAACGTCGTTACTGTTATATATGAACAAAGGGTATCTAAAGGGTATCAAGTCGGAAGGAAATAATCAATCAACAGTGTATTATTTCACAAAATCAAGAAAATAAAAGGATGTTATACGTACCTTCTCTTGTTTTTTCTCTTTACGAGCCTGTCTCTCCCTCTCGTCATATTCTTGGTTTTCTTTCTCAACCAACCGAATAAGTGTATCACATCTCCTGGCAAGTTCTTGAGTTGTGCGAGACTTCACAAACCAATCGAATCGAAACAATGGTGAAGTACGAAAGGCTTTCTTAAGCTCATCCCAGTTCCCATACCCCAGCTTGTGAACCATGCAAATCTAAACAAGAATTGCAATGTGGTAATGAATTCTCAGACAATTTAAAGACGGAAAGGAGAATGAAGATACGATAACTAAAAACAGCTAAAATGGTTGTAAGAAGTCTAACCATGAAACGGTCACATTCTTCGTTGTATAACTTCCCTTTATTCTGGCCATACTGGATCTTTAATTCCAGCCATGGGTTCTTATAGCGATCCAACTTCTTCTCGATGGCTTTCATGATCTCATCTTTTCTCGAGATTCTAGCCTCTCCTCTCTCAATGTTTTTAATAATCTTATCATAATCTGGAAATAAAAATATTTATAAATATAGTATCATGCTTCAAATGCAGAGCAAGGGCTGATGAAGTTATTGTATAATCAAAATAAAATTCATATTCTCCAAACATAATATATCCATTGCCTCTAGAAGAACAGTTTGGAGCAATGATCTTCTAGAAACATCCAATTCCTTGTTACATCCATAAAAGGTCTACATCCCAGATGATTTATATACTATCCATGTAAAGAAAAATGAAAGCATTATTCATATCTGATGGCAAGACAAATACAAAATGATAAATCTCTTAAAATTGCAGGCATCAACAGAAACTAACTTCTTGTTACTTACCATTCAATTCTTTGTATCTTTCATTGAAAACTTTTGCATATCTTTCGACCTCGTATTCGGATTTTCCTTCCATTTCAGAAGCAATTCCCGGGATATCATCTCGACCATACTTCTCGCAGGCCCTGATAAAAGTATTGAAGTCCTTTCTGCTCCATGTTGAGAAACCCTAAATACGACAGAACAGTCAGGTGAAGTTGAGCACAAAAGTTAAACGTCAGCTAGAGATTACATAAACATACTTCTTCCAGAAGCTGCTCCTTCTCTTCCTGCTCCTCGACAGTTAAAGGGTTTCCTACTTCTGGGTAGACAGCATTGCATCAAAGAGAAACATCAAATGAGAAACTGAAAGACTAGATAAGCTGTTCTGAAATAATAATAAATAATAATATAAATAAATAAAAAGGTACCTTCAGGTTCATCCACTTCTATACTATCTTTCACTTGATTCTTCTGACGGGTTTGCTGCTGAGCCACAATAAACAAATAAGACAAATACAACAAATAAATACATTGAGGTAAATCTAAAGAGTAGCCTAGACACCCACCACAAGATAGCGCACTTCTTTCTCGTACAACTCACTAAGGCGTTGTGTGTTGAAGAACTGGAAATCATGCCTTGTAGAAGATAACACAAGTTAAGATGCAGGTACCAATGAACAGAGATATTCAAATTAACTGAATAAATGTTTACAATTGTGGCATGCGAGGAACTCGGGGCTCTTTTGGCCTTGCAGGAGCACTTGGACGCAGAGTCTGCTTAAAGTATTCCGATTCAGAGTAACTACAGAAACAATAGAAAGCACATCATTTGACTGGTTATTTTAAATTCTTGACATGATTTAGAAAACAGTAGAAACATACTTGCGTTTCCTTTCTCTTCTTGATGGTTCGACCCAATTCTCACTGACAAGTTTTTTGAAATCAACCTTATTTTCATCCTTCATCGACAGGGGAGAACAAAGAAAAATAAGCAGAATAAAGAATTATACGAATAATTCATATAGTCAGCTGCAAGTACATTGGTTTTACCTTATCATCATCAAAATCATATAAGTCGGCAGCTGAAAAAAAGTCCAACAGTAAATTAGTTTCACAAAAAAAGAAAAAACAAATCAAAAATAATTGAATAGAGATAAGATTATTGAATAGTAAGGTCAATGAGAAGCATACTGTCATCCATTTTAAATTTGATGGCATCTTCTGTGAACTTTTTCATCTTGGCATCAAGCTCAGCAGTTGCCTCTTCTCCTTTGGCAATAATTCTATCTATATCTTCATCTGTTATTGTGCTGTCTTTGGAACTGAAAACCATTTCAGCGCCAAATCTCACCATTTGCAGCAGCTCGTCCTTATTAACAGCTGCATAAATAAAAAGAAATTGAATTTCAAATTTCAGCAATAACGTATCTGCAGTATAGTCCAATTTAAGGAACCAAAACCAATATAGCCATAGAAAAGGTCTCACTCTTTTGTTCTGCTAGTCGCCCTTGTTGGATAACCAAAGCATCAAGGGCAAGCTTCTTATAGGCCCTTTCAATCACTTTTTCCTCAATGGTATACTGTCAAAATATAATTTTGAATAAATTATGAACACAAAGTTGCACATAGACTAGTTCTATTTCCATTAGTAAGGAGAAAAAACGAGAAAAACCTCAGTGCAGAACCGGAAAACTTGAACTTCCTTCTTCTGTCCTATCCTATGAGCACGGTCCTGGGCCTGCAAATCAACCTGCGGATTCCTGCAGTGGATTGGAGTCAATTTTTGATATGGTCAAGGCAAACTTTTATGTATCACCAAACAGAGGCCTTACCAATCACTGTCATAAAGAATGACAACATCAGCAGTTGCAAGGTTAATACCAAGACCTCCGGCTCTGGTCGACAGTAGAAAAACAAATTTCTCACTTCCTGGTTTGTTGAAGTTTTCGATGGAAGCATCTCTGTCTTCCCCACCAGTATTTCCATCAATTCGACAGTAATAATATCCACGGAACAGCAAGTAGTCTTCAAGAATGTCCAGCAGTCTTGTCATCTGTATATACAATCAGAAAGTTGGTTCATCATTGTGAATACATCCCTCACCACCACCTTCCCAGCACCAACACCCCAAAAATAAAAGATAAATGAAAATATGAAATAGAACATAAAAATAAAACAGCCAAATGAAGAGAAGTGACAACAACTAATCCAGAATGTTTCAGGCTGGAAATAACAAGAAAACTTCGGAAAACAAGATGAAGAGGACAAGAAACTAACCTGCGAAAATATCAAAGCCCTATACATAACCAAGAAAAAAAAGAAAGAAGATCAAGATGACAAGAAAACCAACCTGCGAAAATATCAAAACCCTGGAATCACGCTCTTTCAATTTCGGAAGCAACTTGTCAAGAAGAACCATCTTGCCTGCAATTTGGCACCATAATTTACAGAAAATAAATATAGAGAATAGAGATAATAAAAAGGGCAATTGCATAAGAACAAGTAATCATTGTTTTCTCCTTAATGTTAAATAAAGAACTTACCGGCATTTTCTACGAGATGTGCTCCAGTTGTATAAGGTGGACCAGGTTCAGCACCTTGAAATAAATATGGATGGTTACAGCACTTTCGCAGCTGCATGGCTATATTAAGAAGACGTTTGCGTTCTCCGCCAGCATTTACAACCTCAAGATCTTTCTGCAGCAATGCCTTGTAATATTGCTTTTGCATCTGGGACATACCAACTTTGAGTATTGTTTCCTTCTTCGGGGGCAAACCTTTTTCGACATCAGACTTCAACCTTCTCAGAAGGAAGGGTCGTAGAACCTAGCAGTTTGTCAGAAAAGGGATGAACATGATCAGATAAAGAAATTGTGCAAGCAATAGTAGATCAATTAACCAACTATTATCAAATGCTAGCTATGTTTACGATGAGACCAACTCATTGTTTAACTTTAAGTGCAGGATAACACAAAGCACCAATAGATAAACATTACACGGTCTGATTTTGCCAGAGTAACTATGAGTGATGGAAATATATGATAAATGAAGTATATATCTACGAAAGCAAATAACAGAAGCATACCAACATAAAACATGGCATTGTCCCATACAGTATTAATCATATGTCACAATCTAAACACATTAAACTGTTTAGTAAAGAAAGTGTAACGCAAAATATTATTATGATTCAGCAACTATAATTTGCAAATTCAATATACATATGTCTCTGGAAGTTATGCCCAGTGTTTTCAAACTTTTAGATGAGTTTATTCTGAATGTGAAATTATGATTTATGCATGTATCAAGATATCACCTGAACCTGGAGAAATCTGCATGTTGGAAAATCAAACAAGTGTATACCTTGTGAAGCTGTTGGACAACTTCCTGCTGATCATTGTCACCGGAAATTTGGAACCATTCATCGAAAGCCTCAGAAGAGCTAAATATCTCCGGAAGCAAAAAGTTAAGGAGGGACCAAAGTTCATGAAGATTATTCTGAAAAATAAATAGCATGTCAGGAATACAGGCCTATAGATAAAAGGATATAGGATATCACAAAGATGCCATGGTAGGCAAAACATATTGCTAGTGGATGGAAATATGCCTCAAATAGTAAGCGTAAGTAAGATAAAAACAATGTTAAAGAAACTGGTAAATATTCCTTTAAATTCCCCATGACAGAATTCTTTACATCAAACGTGTAAAATAGCTCAAAACAATTTTCCACACTTAACTCAGCTCATTACTGGTAGCAGATTTGTGTCCAAGAATTCAGAGAAGTGGAAACCACTTAGCAGTAGCGGCGGTTATAGTTTAGAAAATGTTACCGAAAAGTTCTACAAATGCCCTTAGAGATATGAAGATCTAGAAGATTCTCAATAAAACACAAGAATGAAAAGGGCTACAAGGCTCCAAAGGAAAAGACATTAACCATCAGAATATGCAAATGTCAAATTGCATTTATAGTACAAATAATGTAACACAAGACAAAGTAATACGCCCCATTAAGATTCAACCAGTGTGCAGATTAAAATGCACAAAGTCTCACGGAAAAATTTAGTACAAAAATGTGAAGAAACTCAAACCACAAGAAACTATAGAAATGATACCTGAAGTGGTGTTCCCGTGATTAGAAGCCTATAATTAGTATTATAGAGTCTCATTGTTTTTGAGAGAAGGGAATTTTCATTCTTGATCCGATGAGCTTCATCAATAATTATGTACCGCCAGCTAAAACGTCGCAAGGCAGTCTTCTCCTTTATGGCCATCTCAAAACTTGTGACGCATACATCGAACTTGCCTGCCGCAAGTAATTCCTCGCGTATATACCTCTGAGATATAAAGAAATTGTGAGATAAGAAAACAGCAGCCGGCTTGGAAATTAATATAACCAACTAGTACTGCAGACTTACTCTTTCTTCAGGATTCCCAAGAAACTTTATGGCACGCAAGAGAGGACAAAACCTTTTGATTTCATTCATCCAATTGCCAAGCGTGGATTTCGGAGCAACAACCATGTGGGGGCCAGTAATCCCTTTGAACTCATGCAGGTAACCCAGCAAGGATATGGTTTGCAAAGTTTTACCGAGCCCCTAAATAAATTAATTAAAAAAATGTCATCTATATAGATTTTTTGCAATAAGTGGATGCAAATAATAATCTCTACCCATACCATTTCATCAGCAAGTATTCCATTTATGCCATTCTCATAAAGTCGTATTAGCCAGTTTAAACCAGCAAGTTGGTAATCCCTCATCTTCCCTTGAATACCTGCAAGACACAGGTGTATAAGTACTTGAACATAATTCATGGAAGTAAATATAAAATATCACTAAATGAAGAATTTCTAGCCTAAACCATAATACTTTATAACATATATCATCAATTTGGGCCACATATTGAAATATCAATCACAATATAGTAACATGAAGCCAAAGAATTAAATGGCAGTTATATAGTGTGAGTGGACAAAATCATCTTACAAGATGGTTGTGCCAGTAGCCTTGTATTTCCGGTGCCAGAAAGGCCGTCTTCTTCTTCTTTGAGATATTCTGTGTCTTCTTCCTCTTCAGTTAACTTTGATGCGTGACGACCCCTACAATAATTGAACGAGAGAGACACAACCAGATTGAATGTCAAAATACGAACTCTCTTGGCTCCACAAGATGAATTAACTTAAGATAAGATGAACTCAGTGTAAGTTGAGAAAATATTAATTTTAAAAATCTCTTCCCTTTCACATAACCTAGTCCATTTGTAGTCCTTTTCAACTTATCTATCTCCTTTTAACTGCCTTAGTTCTCCCATTTCCAAAGAACTACAATATTTGTTATCTACACGTTACCCCTTTCAAGCTCCACTTGAAATGATGCCCCGACACTATTAACTGTGCCTCACTCTCAAGAACTACATATCTATCACCATCAATCCACTTTTCTAAAATTCCCTCCACTAAGATCTTGTCTCTGAGATAATAGAGACGACGAGATGATTCCTGCTGCCCATATGATAGCGCTAACATGGTCCATCTTAGGGATGGCAATGGGGCAGGTGTAAGATTGGTTTGGTCAAACATAGACCTGTCCCACCAACAAAATCAGACCGACCAACAAAATCAGGTCCTTCTGAAAATTTCAACTTACCATTATTCATAAACAACATAAACCTTTAAAATTAGAACTATAAAACTAAATAATTAATAACCCATTTTTCAGACTAATTGCAGTTTTTAACATAGTGATTAGTGACCACAGATCTCCCACCAACCAGCCCCTGCGGCGAAGTGCACTGTCTATCCTCCATCCAAACAAGCCACAGGTGCCACTCTAACAGTGGAGATGGTTGAAAAATGGAGTTTCTGATAGATCTGAAAAAAATGGAGTTGGTGATCCATCTGAGGGCAAGTATTTGGTGATGAATAGTCTGTGGTGTTTTCAGAGACAGAAGAAAAATAAAAGAAAGAAGAATTAAAAAGGAGGAAAAGAGGAATGTAATAAAAATTTGAATTAGGATTCAGGCGAAAGGAAAACAAAAAACAAGAGAAGGTGAAAGAAAAGGAAAGACTCGAGGAACAGACATTTCTGCAGCCTCGACAAGTGCAGTGACCTTAGGCTCATTTACTTTTATGCACAGCAGGTCCAATAAGACTCATACCCACCCCAAGATCCGCTTACTCGGGTTTGAACCCGCCCAGAATGGGGTTGGTTCATTTATGTCTAGACTTGAACCTGCCCAGAATGGGGTTGGTTCATTTATGTCTGAACATCACAGAAACCGAAAAACCGAAAAATCTAACCGAGACGTGCACAGCCCTACTCAATAACATAGAAATTTAAAGCTCATTGTAATGTACCCCTTTTTTTATAGAAGACTAAAGAATTCAAACCACAAGTTAATAAAGTAAAAGTTCGAGGAATCTAAGATTGCCTTGGTCAAAATTTAATTAATAATAGAATTTTAGTCAACGAATTGAACATCTTTAAAACAATGTTTCCCTTCTAGCTCACGGAAAAACCACAGAAATTTGTGTCTAATCAAGCGCATTCAAGGAAGGTGAAAGAAAGCATAAATTGCCCTCATAATTATTCATAATAACTAAACCGTACAAGGCCCGACCTCTTGATACAGATTTCCGCCTAAACACAACCTAGCTCAGACCCGAAGCTGCGACACGTATAGTGTTACCATGCTTACCCATATTGAAACACGTGTCTGGTCAAGGCCCTATAAGTACTCTGGAAACGTGTTTATAATACCTACTCCCTTCTATCACATTAAATACTCTGATCAATATAACCTTCAGATCTCGCTGACTTAATCATCAGAGGATTGTAGTTTTAATTTCCAAGAGAATAACAAGTTGTACATATCTTAAAATCCAAAGTGATGAGGTGGATGCACGTGAAAGAACAAGAAAAATCAATGCTACAAAATCTCAATCTATCCAACTTTACACGAAGAACAATCAACATGAAAAAATAACGAACAGACTACTCACCTTCCTTTTCCTTTCTTCTGAGAGGTGGACTGATCACCCTTAGAAAAATGAGCAAATAACTCTGTCTGCTGCAAGAGATAATTCAAACGACCCTTTCCTTTTTTGTTCTGTCAAAAATAAACAAGGTTAAATGCAGAAATCTGTGCATAGCATGTAATGGTGATGCTGACAAGTGTCAAGTAACAAAGACTCTTTTCAGATAACTCACCATGTCAGCATCAATAGCAGCATTCTGGTCGTCAAGTATTTCTTGTATCTTCTGCTTCTTCATCCTCTGCATTTCTTTAAGTCTGGCTTTTTCACGCTTGGAAACTTCATTTGCAACAGCATCGTCTTCCTGCAAAATAACTCCATCATTCAAGTCATGCAATGTAACTCCAAATTTTCATGTCACTACACTAAAATAACATAATTATTGCTTAAATCTTATAACTGCATTTTTCTAATATTTAACAATCATTGAGATCGACGTCGATGCATCATAAATGCATGGAACACTAAGAATCATTTCTTCAAACGACTACATTAACCAGCAGAACTAAACTAAGAAACACCTTAAAGTCATCCCTAGTCCATTATCAAGTGATTCGATAATCCCAATAAATCGAAGATCAACCGGCATTTAAATCGAATGCATGCAAAACAGAATATCGCCAAAAATCATTATAATCGAAGCAACGTTAACTAAACCAACTTCGTAATAAACCAAGCATGCATCTGTCAACAAAAGTACAGAAAAAGGTACAACAAATTAATAACTGAAAAGAGAAATTAAAATCTCCGACTCAACTTCATCGAGAAAATCCTAATCTTACACAAGCAGAAAACGTGGTCATACCCCCACCGTTAAACAGGTGAAATTAACAGTATCGAGAAGACAAATTAACAAATACTACATAAACATCTTCTCTTACTAATTATCGTTTGCGCAGAAACTCAGATTTCCACAAAAAAACAAACCTCATTGTCGCTCTCTTCCTCAGCAGCGGCATTGGGCATCTCCTCTCCGACTTCTTCGTCGTCGGAATCATCGGCGGTCCGAGCGACGGCCTCGAGCTCCTCGTCGTCGTCGGAGTCTCCGTTGGCTTGATCCTTAACCTCCTCTTCGTCCGACGACGGTGAATTAGACATGTAATCATCGGAGGAGTCCTTCGCTTGCGAGGGTTTCGCCATATTGACAATTTGCTCGAGAAATCGATTAATTCGGGGGAAAAACTGAAATTGTGAGAGAATAAAGGAAAGAAGAAGAATGTACTCTTTGTTCACAGTTGTCAGTACAAAGGAAGAAGTGTATTGTGGTGGACCGAATAGGTTAAATGGGTCGGTTTATGAAATGGGTCGGGTTTTTTTCTTTACAAAATAAAATAGGTTAAATGGGTCGGTTTATGAATCGGGTTTGTATCTTACTGAATATTCCCGCCATGTGTAGGCTCCGGAAGAAATCAATTGGGTTGGGCCTAAACTGGTAATATGGGTTAATGGATCTGGGCTATAAATTTAATCTAATTCGGTTAATATTGCTAGCCTAAATTGTGATTTATTTTTTCACTATATAAAAAGTTAATTAAAACTACTTTCAATATAATATATTTTCCTACTTTCCAAATTAGCAACATAATTTGAGTTTATATATATATATAATATAACAAGATAATTCATAGTCAATTGTTTAGTTATCATCTTTTATTTTGGTATGTACTTAAATTTGGTACTTGCTGATGTGTTTTAGTCAATTGTTTACTAATCATCTTTTATTTTAGTACGTACTTAAATTGTTTTCTATTTAACTTTTGCGCAATCATATAGCTTTTAATATATACATAATATTTCATGAATTTTTTATTTTATAAATTCAAAAAATATATATTATCTTATTTCTATTTTAAATTTTCGAGAAATGTAACTTTTTGTATGTCTCCTTTCATATTAGTTTATTTAAATTTGTAATTTAAATAGTCAAGTGAATAAAAACAAACAAAATTAGTATCATTATTAGTATGAGCATTAATTTAATATCATTATAATTATAAGTATTATTATCAGTAGTATACGTATCAGTATTAGTATTAGTATTTGAGCCAATTTTTTTATTTTTATATTGTTAATTAATAATAAATATTTGTACTTTAATAATACTTAGAGAGGCCTAGTTCGTTTGGGCTATCAATATCCGGCCTAATTTTGTGTGTGAAGCCCAAGTACAGAAAAGCGCGTTTCTTAAATGCGACTTTAGTAATTGGATTGAGAATTTGGTCCCCAATTCTTTGACTGGCAATTTTAGGAAACGCAGCCATTTTTTTTCGAAAATGCAAGCTATTGGAATGATGATGACGAAATCACACAGATTGGCTAGGGTTTTGAAGAACCCATGGCGGAGTGTCTTCAGCTCAGGCGAACGACTCAACTATTCTCCGGCTGAGGAATTAGCGACTCAAAATGTTTTCGAATGCAGCCTCTCCCTTTCTCTGCGTCGCAGTTTTCACTCATCCTCGTTGTTCTCCGGTAAATTTCTTTTTTTTTTTTTCGAAAATGAATGTATTTAATCAGCTTGAAATGAAGAATTTGGAAATTCGGGCTTTGGTGAAGAAATCATATGGGCTGTGATTTTAGTTCAGTTAGTAGAAATCATATGGGCTGTGAAATGAATTTTTTTTTAATGGTTTTGATGTTGTTTAAAATTGTAATGGCAAATTGTAAACGTGGACGAGGTAATCAGAAATGTTTTAATAATGTGCTTGCTATTTTAATGTATAAAGCTAATGCCTGTATTTCAGTATATGATTTTCTTTTGTAGAATTAAGTGTGCATTTGATCTAATTTTGGGTCGAACTTGAGTGTATCTGTTAAAGTATACTGACGAACTAATCACAAATCGTTTTCTTACGGTTTTTTTTTTTATCATGGCGAACAGTTAACATCAACATTAACCCCGTCAATAACTGTGTTGTTTCTCATATTTACATGTATGAAAATCTGATTAGCATGTCACATAATTCTTGGTTCTCATGTGAAATTTGCAGGGAATGTCCACGGAAATTCGTCAGTGGTTGGATTCAATCATCAACAAGATATAATGCAGATTCCGCCATCATCAGTAATGGTGACACAGATTAGATTGTCTTCTTCAGAAGCAACAGCGGCTGAAGCTGATCCTGCAGGTGGTAATTTTATTTTTGTTTTGTCTGATTTTAGTGGTTTAAGACATTTGAAGAATTAAGGTTATTTAGTGGGAAAAATGCCGGTTTTTTTGTTGTTTTAGACGCAGAGACAGCGAAGGGAGTGTATGATAAGCTGCTGGACTGTGTGGTAAAGAAACGAAGTGCACCTCCAAATGCTTGGTTGTGGTCACTCATTGCTCAATGTTCTACTCGTGAAGATATTAAGCTCCTATTCGATATTTTGCAGAAACTTCGTACATTTGTTAGTGGTTATTTCGGTCAAATATCTTTATATTAGCTTGATGACCTCTCGTTTCATTTTTTATATATATGTGTTCGATTTTGTTCTGGGCTTGCAGAGACTCTCCAATCTTCGGATACCCGATGATTTTAACAGTGCACTTTGTAGGGAAGTTACAAAGGCCTGTGTTCGTGCAGGAACCATTGACTTAGGTATGGAATTATATGACATGTCTCAGTATCCAATATGATTTATTTTTTTAATAATGGTGCAAACTGGAGATTAAAAATTGCGTGGGAGAAACTCAGAATTCTTACAAGCCATAAATTCATGGAAGAGGACCGTATTGCTAGCTGGGCATCAAGTGCAAGAGAATAAAATTATTGTTTTAGTGTTTTGTTCGTTGACTAGTTCTTTGGTTAAAGCATATTCCTTGAAAATTGAATTTTGCATGACGGTATTCACGACTTACATTCATGGCAGTATAGTCCACACTTTTTCATGTTCTGGCGTTTTTTGTCTACGAATGTTTTCTTATCACCAGATGTAAATCTTTGTTAATTATTTGCAAACAGGTAAGAAGGCTCTGTGGAAGCATAATTTATTGGGACTGACTCCTGACATTGGATCTGCCCATCAACTGCTGGTATGTAAGTCTTCTATTAAGGTTTTGTGACTTTGTGTCCGAAAGTAGAGATGGGAAACTGTACTATCTTTTATGGCTGCAGTTACACGCTAAACAACATAATGATGTCAAACTCACGGTCGAAATAATGGAACTAGTGAAGGAGAATGATTTACCTTTGCAACCTGGCACTGCCGATATACTTTTCAGGTATATATCCATCAGAAATTCCTCCCAGTTTTCTTTATCTGGTACAACTACTTGTCTTAATGAATGACTGCATTTATTCTTTTGTGCTGTCGGGAAATCGTCTTTTTTTTTTTTTCTGTTTTTTAATGTGTTCTTTATCTACAATCTGTCTTCTCGGTTTAAGAGTGAATCATATGAGGGCACATACACATACCTATAAGGGTGATGGCTAAAGAATAAGGTTTTTTTTAACTTGCAGAAAAATTATAACAGCCTTAATTTGATGTTTGTTGTTCAGACTTCCACATCTTTCTTTGTTTTTATGGAAGTTTTTCTTCTTTGTTTTCCCATTTTGCCCCGCCTTTCAACTTGGATCTTCATAGCTGGATTTTATTTATTGCAGCATTTGTTCTAGCGCAAACAGATGGGATTTGATATCCAAATATGGGAAAAGGTTTGTGAAGTCTGGAGTAAAACTTAGACAGACTTCCTTTGCCTTGTGGATGGAATTTGCTGCCAAAAAAGGTCTTGCAAATCTACTTTTGGTTTCCTAGAATCCACTTTCTTTATATTTGCCTTCTTATTCTCGTAATTGGCTAATTTAGAGGTGTTTCATATATCATGTAATTTTATTATCTACTGCATTACATGATAAATCATCTCCGTTCTTTGTTTTGATGTGATGGGTCATAAGCCCTCCCAACCAGGAAAGAAAATAAAGAAAGAATCAGTGAACTGATCCATTAACTCTTACTTTTGTAGGAGATGTTGAGTCATTATGGAAGATTGAGAACTGGAGATCCGAAGCTACGAAGGAGCATAATGTCTCTACTGGGTTTGCTTGTGCTAAGGTCAGTCATTTGTTGTTGCCCATTGGTCCGAATCTTTATTTGTTTCGAACTATAAAGTTTCAAACCCTTTTCCCCTTTCGGAATGCTAGTTGCCAGCTGGGAAGTTATTACCAAAATAATAATCTAAAAAAGGAAATATAAAGTTTCAAACTATGAGGATTTTAATCGAACCCTGAGTAAGATTCCCTATTTACCTGATAATTCGTACTGTTTCACTACATGTGACATTCAGCTTTCTTGTTTATGTTTAAATTTTAATAAGATTTTTACTTCCTTTGACGAAGGAAACTAATCGCTTCTATATAAATCAAGATCATTGCAGAGTGCATTGTTGATAGTAACCTCTTCCATCATCAATTCTTTCTTGTTGTAAAATTATGTTAACTGAATTCATTTGGATGGACTGATGATTCTCAGTAAGTTTATAAAATCTAGCTGTTATTGGACATGGTTTTCTTTTTGACGAAGTAAGTAATTAGAAGGCTAGTATATATTAAAGATTATGTTTGCTTGTAGAGTTGATTGAGCATGGAGCCAGTAATTTAGTATTGATCTTGATGTTGTTTCCAGGGTTTCCTTCTCGAGCATAAGCCTGAAAGTGCTGCTGCAATCATTCAACTACTATATCAGGTAAATTTATATCGTGACTTGATTGTTATACTCAAATGGGTGAGCATCAAAATTTACGCTTTTTTGTATGTCTAGACTTTACCTGATGGAAGAAGGACAAGTATTACGGCCGAACTTCAAAAGCTCGTGAGTGAGTGGCCTTTGGATGTCGTAAAGCATCAAAAAGAGGATAAAAGAGAGGTATTCCCTATCATGTTCTTTTTACTCGTAACACCAATTCTGATCTCTCTCTTTTTGCCTGGCTGGTGATTTTCTCTCTCTCCAGACAAGCACAAACTCAGAACATACTTACAGAAAAGTATACTCTTGTATATATATATATATATATAAACTCATATTTTGTTGTCTTGGCCAGGCATATGCTGCAGCATTACAAAAAGATATCTCTGCGCTAATCAATGCTTTACCAAGCTTGGGTGTGGAAGCAAATGTAACCATGCAATAGTTTACTGGATAATAACCGGTTTTGTCTTGGATAAAGCGGAAGAAGCACGTTACGCTTAGTGCTGTTAGACCGACCCTACAAGTATTACTCTCTCCTCGCATGCTGTGGGAGTTGTGAGAACACACCCCAAATTTTGGTCAGAATTCACAATCTTAACAATCCAAAAGTTCTACTTTCCGTTTGCTCTTTCGTTGACTTTTAGCAGTTCAATGAAAATTCAGCTGTTATCTTCTTCTATCTTGTTCCGCCCGAGTTCATTCACGAGCCTACGTAGTAGTCGTTTAAACAAAAAATGGACTAGTGTATTATGATCGAAACATTTCCTTTTCGTTATTTATTATTATATATTTTTAATTTATACTGTGAGGCTTGGAAATATATGTCTATAGAACCTTCTACAGGCGGTGGCAAGCATATACCCACCATAGACAAATGTAGTCCATATAAACACAATCTTCACTGCTTCTTGTTACAAACTTGTCGTCACATAGTTTTGCCTCATTGTTTTTTCCCCACACATGTTAGACAAAACATATTTGCTCTCTTACCTTTTCTTACCATTACAACTTCAAGAGAGAGAAACAAGAGAGAGAAACATACTTGCAGTAAGTTGGTAACAAATCAAGAATGGATGCAAAAGAAGCAAGTTTTCGAGTTCTAATGTTCCCATGGTTAGCACACGGCCACATATTCCCGTTTCTCGAATTAGCCAAGAAACTCTCCAAATCAAACTTCCACATCTACTTCTGCTCGACTCCAGTCAACCTCGATTCCGTCACAAAACATCTCAGCAACGACGTAGTTTCGAATATAGAGCTAGTGGAACTCCATCTACCATCTCTGCCGCAGCTTCCGCCGCAGTACCACACAACCAAAAACACACCGCCGCATCTCATGCCAACACTAATGCACGCCTTCCAAATGTCCAGCTCATCGTTCTCCGACATAATAGGGGATCTAAAACCCGATTTGCTCATCTACGACGGGTTTCAACCCTGGTCCGCGAAATCCGCTTCTTCGATTGGCATCCCTTCCGTCAATTTCGCCACTTCGAGCTGCACGACGATTTCGTTTTTCCACCATCTCCACACACACAAAACGTACGGCGATTTCCCTTTCCCGTCAATATTCTTGAGGGATTTCGAGAAAAGGAATCTGATTTCTCGAGGGGAATCCATTGAAGTTCAGGATAAAGAAGAAGGGTTTGCTTTCGGGATTTTCGAACTTTCTTGTGACATTGTTTTGGTGAAGAGCTGCTGCAGAGAGATTGAGGGAAAGTACATGGATTATTTCTCCACTCTCTGTAACAAAAAAATCGTCCCCGTGGGCCCACTCGTCACCGCCGCCGCCGCAGATAATGCTGACGTCATCGACTGGCTGAGTGGAAAACCGCCGTTTTCAACGCTGTACATTTCGTTCGGGAGCGAGAACTATTTGTCGGGGAAGCAAATGGAGGAGATAGCAAAAGGGTTGTTGCTGGTTGGTGAAGCAATCAACTTCATATGGGTGGTGAGATCGCCGGGAGAAACTGCGGCGGAAGAGGGTGGTGGTTGTCTGCCGGAGGGGTTTTCGGCGGCCGTTGAAGGGAGGGGGTTGGTGTTGAAGGGGTGGGCCCCGCAGGCGGCGATACTGGCGCACCCTAGCGTAGGGGGTTTCATGAGCCACTGCGGGTGGAGTTCAGTGACGGAGAGTATGTATTTCGGGGTTCCGGTGGTGGCGGTGCCGCTGAAGCTGGACCAGCCGGTGAACTGCAGGATGGCGGTGGAGGGCGGCGTGGCGGTGGAGGTGGGGAGGGATGAAGTTAGTGGGGAGTTTAGCGGGGAAGGGGTGGCGGAAGCTGTAAGTGAGGTGATGATTGTTTCAGGGGAGAGGCTGAGGTACAGAGCTAGAGAGATGAGTGAGAAGATGAAGATGGAGGAGAGAGAAGCTTCTTTTCAAGTTGCTGATGAGCTGGCAAGAATTTGTGCCAAGAAGGTATCACCATGAATCAAGACAATTTTTTTTTTCTTTTGAAATTTAATAATTTAATTGGGATGAAGAAATTAATAGCATGAACATTATGTTGATTTAATTGTTTAAAAAAAATTTACAGTTAAACAGCGATAAATTAATACTGGTGGAATTAGGAAAATTCTATTAATTTAGTAAATTATGAAATTATCGGGGTAGTAATTTGACACGTTCTTATTGTATCGGGATCGAGAGAAACTATTATTTAAGCGAGGTTATTAATTTATGAGTACTAATTAATCGAAGTTCTACCATAGTTTTGAAGCATAATTTGGTCGAAAGGCGAACAAATTTTGAATTTCAGCTTAGTTTCGATCAAAATATTTCTTCATTTCATTTTAAATTCCGAAAGTTCCTACTCCCAATTCTTTAATTGAAATTGTCCAATTTTTATTGAGAAAATACAGTCGAAAAGTTTCGATTCTTTTTCAAAAATTGAAATAGCAATATAATTATATTTTTTTAAAAAAATAGAAATTTTGAAATCTCTCGATTTTGATTCCATAATTTCAATTTCTTTATAACAGTAATAAAATTTATCGTATAATAGCTTGCAAGCCATACTGAGAAACGCAAATCACGCTAGACTAACAATGTGTGACAAACTCCATCTATCGACTATTGACATCGAGATTCAAACTTGGTTAACGGACACAAGCTCACCAGCTCCAACCGCTCGGGTCAAATAAATGCGCTGTCTTGGAAAGAAAAGTAGCTATCAAAATATGTGGTTATATCTATATTCGTACAGCCAGCCAATGCCATAATTTCACAAAAAGTAAACATTTGCACAGATACAAGAAAAAACCAGCACCACCATAATTTTCATTAATGGATTCAGAAGCTTCTTGTTTCAGAATCTTAATGTTTCCATGGTTAGCTCATGGACACATATTCCCATATCTCGAGCTCGCCAGAAGAATCTCGAAGAAGAACAACAACAACTTCCACATACACTTGTGTTCAACCGCCGTTAATTTCAATTCAATCAACTCCTTCATCGAAAAGAACTCACTACAAAACTCCATCGAAACAGTAGAGATCCATCTACATTCTGATCTTCCTCCGCACTACCACACGACCAAGAATCTCCCGACAAATCTCAACTTCACCCTAATCAAAGCCTTTCAGACAGCAAAATCCAGCTTCTCGGACATCGTCACCACTCTGAAACCTGATTTGGTCATTTACGACATCTTCCAACCGTGGGCCGCCGGAATTGCTTCGTCGCGAGGAATCCCGGCCGTTCATTTCGCCGCTCTCGGAGCGGCAAAGATGACGTTTTTCCACCGTCAAGCTACCGCTTGCTCGGACGGTGGTGATTTTCCTTTCCCGGCAATATATATTCGGCCCCATGAGAAGAAACGTATGGATGGTGTGTTTGATTTCATGCGTACGCATGTTTTCGACGACGACGGAGATGTTTTTTTCGTGAACTACAAACTATCTTCCGAGGTTGTTCTGCTAAAGACCGGTAGAGCGTTGGAAGGGAAGTACGTCGACTACGTTTCCACCACGTGCGGGAGAAAACTACTACCTGTCGGCCCACTCGTCACAGATGTTTGTGAAAATGCCGAAGAGAGCAACTCGGATGTAATGAAATGGCTTAGCAAGAAAGAGCACCATTCGACCGTGTACATCTCTTTCGGCAGCGAGTGCTTCTTGTCCGAAGAAGAGATTAATGAAATAGCAAAAGGGCTCGAGCTCTGCGATGAACGAGTTAACTTTATATGGGTCGTCAGATTTCCGGTCGAGGACAAGACAATCACTATAGAAGAGGCACTTCCTTTGGGATTTCTCGACAGGGTGAAAGACAGAGGAATAGTTGTGTCTGAATGGGCCCCACAGGCTAATATATTAGCACATCCGAGTACGGGCGCATTCGTAAGCCACTGCGGGTGGAGTTCTTTAACCGAGAGTATATATTATGGAGTTCCGGTTATAGCTATGCCGATGAAACTCGCCATGTTTGTGGATGCTCGGATGTTAGAAGAGGCCGGTGCTTGTGTGGAGGTTTCGAGAGAGGGAGACGAAGCGTTTAAGGGAGAAGATGTAGCGAATGCGATACGTAATGTGATTGTGGAAGAGAGTATTGGAGAAGGGTTGAGGCTTCGAGCTCGAGAATTGGGTGGGAAGATGAGAATCGAAGAGGAACAATTGATCGATGACGTGGCGGAGCATCTTCGGTAACTTTGTTTAAAGAATAAAGGTAACAATTAAATGATCAAAATTCAGAGTCTGATATCCAGCATGTATGAAATGCTAAGGGCATACTATTTTTATGTTGCATTATTTGTTTGTGAATTGGTTATAAAATTAGAAGCAATTTGATTGTTGTGCCAAGTCTAATGAAGGTAAAATCTTGTTAAACGATAATTTAATTCCGTACCATGTTCCATTATAATGGGTCGTGAGATCGCCGGAAGAAATGGTTCCGGTGGCGGAGGAGGAGGGGGAGGGTGGTGGTTGTATGCCGGAGGGGTTGTATGACGGCGATTTTTCCGTTAATTTTTGTGCTCGAACTAGGTGTAGGTGCCCAACGGAAATTGGAATTAAATTATGTTCAATTGGATTTCCGATTTGTTCAAAGAGCTAATTCCAAAATTCCGATCCGATAAATCCGACTTTGTGGATCTTTTAGTAAGAATGTTTTATTCATTGTCACAAATGATGTCTGACTAATGTTGTGTACATTCCTAATATGATTAACAAGTTATTATATAAGAATACAGATTTAACACTCGAATGTATTTACCTTTTTACCACATAAAAGAAAAGAAAATGTACTATCAAATTGTGAACGAGCCGAACTCGACTGTGTTGTCAAGCTCGAGCTCGTTAAGTATTTTTTTGTTCGAATCGATTTTGACGAACTCAGTTCGAGCTCAAACTCGACTAGTTAAAAAGTTCAAATTCGAGTTTTTTTCGAGTCGTCTGGATCATTTAACACCCACTTAGCCCTAATTTTCACCTAAAGAAAGTGAACAATTATTGCAGAGATACAGAAAAAAAAAAAGAAACCAGCACCAACAATTCTCAATAATGGATTCAGAAGCTTCTTGTTTCAGAATTTTGATGTTTCCATGGCTAGCTCATGGGCACATATTCCCATATCTCGAGCTTGCCAGAAGAATCTCGAAGAAGAAGAAGTTCCACATACACTTGTGTTCAACCGCCGTTAATTTCAATTCAATCAATTCCTTCATCGAAAAGAACTCACTACAAAACTCCATTGAAACAGTAGAGCTCCATCTGCAATCTGATCTTCCTCCACACTACCACACGACGAAGAATCTCCCATCGAATCTCATTCTCACCCTCCTCAAATCCTTCCAGACAGCAAAACCCAGCTTCTCCGACACGATCGCCGCCCTGAAACCCGATCTGGTCATCTACGACATCTTCCAGCCATGGGCAGCCCGAATCGCTTCGTCGCGAGGAATCCCCGCCGTTCATTTCGCCGCTTTTGCAGCGGCAACAATGGCGTTCGTCCACCACCACTACGCTTCTCCGGGCGGCGATTTTCCTTTCCCGGAATTGTGTCTGCTGGACCACGAGAAGAGGAGTATAGATTCTCTGATTCAGTTCTTGTACACAGACGTCTTCGAAGAAGATAAAGAAGTTATTTTTCAGAATTATCGACTGTCTTCTGAGTTTGTTATGCTAAAAACCAGTGAAGGATTTGAAGGGAAGTATATAGACTATGTTTCTGATGTGTGCCGGAGAAAAATATTGCCAGTTGGTCCACTCGTCACAGGTGTTTGTGAAAATGCCGAAGAGAACAACTCAGATGTAATGAAATGGCTAAGCAAGAAAGAGCATCATTCAACTGTTTACATCTCTTTCGGGAGTGAGTACTTCTTGTCCGAAGAAGAGATTGATGAAATAGCCAAAGGGCTCGAGCTTTGCGACGAACGAGTTAACTTTATATGGGTCGTCAGATTCCCGGTCGGAGAAAAGACAATCACCATTGAAGAGAGGCTTCCTCGGGGATTTCTCAACAGGGTGGAAGGCAGGGGAATGGTTGTTTCTGGATGGGCTCCACAGGCTAATATATTAGCGCATCCTAGTACAGGCGCATTCGTAAGCCACTGCGGGTGGAGTTCTTTAACCGAGAGCATATATTACGGAGTTCCGGTTATAGGAATGCCGAAGAAACTCAACATGTTTATCGATGCAAGAATGTTGGTTGGTGCTGGCGCGTGTGTGGAGGTTCCTTCGGAAGAAAACGGAGTATTTAAGGGAGAAAATATTGCGAATGTGATACGTAAAGTGATATTGGAAGAGAGAATTGGACAAGGGTTGAGGCTTAGATCTCGAGAATTGAGTGAGAAGATGAGAATCGAAGAGGAGCAATTGATCGACGAAACGGCTGAGCAACTATGGCAACTGTGTTTAAAGAACAAGGGCAAACACTAATCAAGATTTGTAGGTATTAATTTTTTTGTGCCGATTTCTCTTGTGATTACGATTGCTAAATTATTCATTATCTCGTGTTATTGGTTGTTTGAAATTCATGCGAGTTGCTAATTAGAAGCAAGTCGATCGAGAAATAAAACGGGAGTTAGTTGTTCTCCCGTTTAGTTTGCATTTGTTGATATTCGACGTTTTGTGATTTCATACGTGAGATTGCAAGTTTAGATGGTAATAATGAAGTACTTTCTTACGTAGTCTCGTCAACACGTATAAGCATATCCGGAGAAACTCACCGACTATAACATCGGAAAACCCCCATTTAACCAGTCTATAAAAAAGGACGAAAACTAACACAATGTAGTCGCTCGCTTTATATATAGGTCACATTTCGAGGCAGCCTAGGTTTTCTTATGGTGGTTCAAGATCACCAACAAGAAGAAAACCAACGAGGCGGCACCGGAGAATCCCAATGCAACACCGCCCTGGCGGCAGAATCTTCCGAACACATTACAAACTTTGTTCCATTGCAAGTGGGAGTTGCCTTCGAGCCCTATAAGGCCCACCGCTAACGCTGCTCCGATGCTCGAAAAGAGCAGCGCCACCATCGTTAGGTCGAAAACGAGAATCGTGGCAGAAATAAATCTCTTCTTTCTACCTCCACTTGCCAATATCAAGAGTAATGAGATTGCTCCATACACACATACTATTGAATTCACCACCACAAAGTACCTGTATATATATATTTAACAAGATCCCATTTGAATAATTGTGTGTGTGTGTGTGTGTGAATTTAATATCAAGAAAGTAGACTTACACAAAAGAAGACAAGTGATGCCACTCAGCCGTGACCGGAACATTCACCGCGGGCAGAGCGGGAACCAGCTTCAGCGCCACCGTGGTGGTCTGCTTATCGAAGCCAAGAACCACCGCTGCCGCTAGGCTGAGCACCACCACAGCAACCCTCAGAATCAAATTCCACCGTCTCGTATTTTTTCTCTTCTTGGCCACCGCCCATTCTTTCTCTCCACCAACACCACTTCCAGTCACTCCTCCTCCATAGCTACCAACCCTGTTTTGATCAGATTCCATTTTTTCTTTTTCCTTTATATTTAATTTTTTATTCCTGAAAACTAAAATCGGATTTTTAAGATGTTTATAATTATATATAAGAAAGTTTGTGAAGTTGGGAGTGAATTACTTTAATAGTTGGAAGTTGTTAATTAATGACGCATGTACTATATATGTATATTACCTGCACGTGTG